TGTAGGTGGGCTGGTAGGTGGGCATTTACTAACAGGAGGAATAGAATTATAGGTGGGCTGGTGGGTGGGCATTTACTAACAGGAGGGATGGAATTATAGGTGGGCTGGTGGGTGGGCATATTCTAATATAGATAGGTGAAAGCCATTTGCTTTCTTGCATTACCTTTTGGTAATTTGCAATGATTGCACGGTAATATAAATCTCAAAAGAGAAGCCATGGTACTGTAAGTCTATGTTATTTTCTATAACATAGATTTACTTTACAAAGGCTACATTTATCCTAGTTGTTTATTTTCAGGAAATTGAAAGTAGTATTAGGATACTGGCTTGGAAATTTAAGATGTAGAATAGATCTAATAATGGAAGTTATGTTTTAATATAATATTATTTACTTTTCTCACTGCTTGCTCCTTTACTCACTCATTCATCATTCCAAATACACATACAATATAAAGGCGTCGAGCAAGTTTACTTCTGATCTTCTCGTAAAGAGCAAATGAACAGAAAAGCTCTATCCAGAAAAGCTCTATCACATCGTCCCTGCCTGTTCGGTTTCCGTTCCCGGGGGGGGGGGGGGGAACGTGCCAACTCGTCTCAAAGCTGTTGCCTCTACGGCCAACTCTACAAGTACACCCCGCTTGTCTCCCAAAAGGCTCTGCTGCTATGTCTAAAGGGTGTCTTACGACTACTAGTGCCCCCTCAGGGAAACGAGTGATTGCTTGTGATAGATATCAAGTAGCAAGTCCACTTGAGTACATGGGGCTAATAAGGAATGCAAAAGGGAAATTTGAGCATAAACGCCAGTGTGGGAATTTTATTCATTCACTTGGTGGCGGGCCAAATGGTCTTTTACCACTCCTTTTCATCCTAAATCTCAACTTACCAAGCCCAAGCCAACAGCTTTCCAAGCGGCTCTGTGTGGCGTTCCCAAAAATCCCATCCCACACAAAACTTCCCTCCACCCAGCCAAACCCTACCGCAACCAATCAACCCCCCCCCAAAAAAAACCACCACTATGGGCCAAGGAGCTTCCGCAAACGCCGGCCTTTCGGATGGCGAAGGCGATCTGCGCTCCGGTCCAGGTACTGCTGTCAAAACCTGCTATTACGAACTACTAGACGTCCCTCGCGACGCCTCTCAAGACGAGTATGTATGCGAGCGAATAAGCCCCCCCCCGCCACTACCCCACTATCGGCCCTTTTACCTGGGAAGTCGACTAGCTAACCAAAGAGTAGTATTAAAAAAGCGTACAAAAAGAAAGCTCTAGAACTACATCCTGATAGGAACTACGACAACGTCGAAGAAGCTACCCGCCTGTTCACCGGAATCCAAGCGGCGTACGAGGTCCTCTCGGACCCAGAAGAACGAGAGTGGTATGATTCCCACCGCGAGCAGATCCTCCACGGCGATCATGATCCGGGTGCCTCTGGAGGCCCTTCGCACCCCGTCAGCGTGACTACATCCGAAGACGTCCTGGAGTGGTTCTCCATGTTCGCTACTAAGATCTCCTACGACGATAACTCGCGAAATAACTTTTACACACTCGTCGGCGCGGCGTTCAAGAAATTGGCCGACGAAGAGATTACGGCAGCAGAGCAGGCGGGCGAGGACGCGCCTTATTACCCGGACTTTGGAAATTCAAAGAGTACGCATGAGGATTGGGTGAAGCAGTTTTATGCTGCGTGGGGTGGGTTTAGGACCCTAAAGAGTTTCAGCTGGTGTGATGTGTATCGCTACTCGGATGCGCCGGATAGAAGGGTAAAGAGAATTATGGAGAAAGAGAATAAAAAGTTTAGGGATGCAGGGATGAGGGAGTTTAATGATTCTGTCAGGGTGGGTTTTGTTATTCCGGTTCCTTTTGTGGCCGAACTAACCGCGGAAGTAGTCCTTCGTTCTCTTCATACGGAAACGTGACCCCCGGTTCATCAAGAATACCCAGAGCGAGGCTCAACGTCAGGCGGCTCTTCTCGCGGCATCTAGGGAGCAAGCGGCGCGTCAACGCAAGGAAAATCTCGCCAAGTTAAAAGAATTCAAGGCTGCAGATTGGACCCAGGCGTCTCACAAGGCTGAGGACTACTCCGACGATCCTGACGAGGACGAAGAAGTCGAAGAGGAGGAAATAATCGAGAAATATGAGTGCATTGTTTGCAAGAAGACATTTTGGTCGGAGGGACAAATGGGCGAACACGAGAAGAGCAAGAAGCATGTCAAGAATGTGCAGGCACTGAAACGACAAATGATGAAGGAGAACAAAGAGTTTGATCTAGGCCGGGACATCCGAGGAATTGAGAAGCGGCGGGAGGATATAGACGCTCCAATCGAAGCCCCTGAAGCCGAGGAATTAGAAGAACCGGAAGAACTAGACGTCACCAAGAACGACACCCCACACGATGCCCTCAACAGGGACCTTCAAAAACTCGACCTAACTTCCTCAAAACCACCCAATCCAGAAAGCAATCCCAAAGCCACCCCCGACACCGAACAGGAAGGAGAGGGGGGAGAAGATGAGGCAGAAGCCGACCAAAGCCCACCCCCAAACAGCCTAAACCCCTCCCCACCACCCTCATCCTCATCCTCAATAGCGCCCAAAATCGGAAAAGCAAAGCAAAAGCGTGCGAAGAAGGCTGCTAAACTGGCTGCCGTGCCGGGAGAGATCACATGCGTGAGCTGTGGAGAGAAGTTCCTGAGTAAAACAAAGATGTTCAATCACCTGCAGGAGTTTCCGGAGCATGCGAAGCCGGCTGCCGGTGGAGGGGGGAAGGGGAAGGGGAAGGGGAAGGGGAAGGGGAAGAAGTAGGCATCAAAGGCACTAGTGGGATGGGGCATGAAAGTATGGTTTAAGCAATGTGCCTTGCTGCGAGAAGTTACAGTAAGTTCCATTAGCATAAGATTTTTTTGGTTTTTGGCTTCCAGACCTTCCTCTTTTGTACCAAGGGGGGGTTTTTGGCTTTGCTGGTTTATTCCATCACACTTTTATCACAACCCCCTATATAATACATAGCATTGGGTTCCGTATTTCTTCTGGTCGGCTGTACATCCCTAGGAACAGGCAGGGTAAACAAAGGCTTAATTTCTCTGGCGTGGTGTTTTTTTTTGTATGATAATATCTAATATCCTGTACGCTGGGGCTACGATAGACATGTGACCTAACGAATCGTGAGGAATTACTCCTGTTTATCTTATCTCTGACCCATTCGCTCGCTTTCGCTATTTCTTGATAGCAGCCAGAATATAAATACGGTAGCTATAGACTCCTATCTCTCTTCCCCCTGCATCTCACCTTCACAATCTCTCACTCGAGTGATCTTACAATTCAACGTTGCGGCCATCCCTTCTGGTTTGGAGCTGCATGATACATATATGGAAACCATCTTATATGGCCACACACTTATATCATCACCAGCTCACCACCGAATGCTGGTACCGGTTGGCGATTGCTACCCGTGCATGTGGTACCATGCCAGAACCCGCATGAGTATGCCGTGGGTGAGCACACCGGCATATTGTCGCATGGCACGGTATCCCGCCTGATTATCACGGGGCTTATCTCTATCGTACCAGAACTTATCTCTAGTCGCGCGGTATGATATACTATGCGGTAGAATCTTGGATGGGGTAGCCGTCACTATTGGTTTACTTGCAGGTTCACGGCAATTTCCCCACCGGTAGTCCTCAGCTACACAATCCGCCTGTCATGGAGGTGAAACAAAGAGTGATGGCTCCCCCATCCCGGCTATTGCCCAATCCAAGACACTGCGGTACCGGTATTATGCTTCCTGCTTCCATGATAGGCTTACCGGCATCTGTCTCCATTCCTTTTTTTTCCCCCTCACTGCCACCTGCGGCTCCGGGATCTCCTAAAGCGGCGGTGGGATGTGGCCCGGGACAAGAAGGGAGGAAATGGTACTGTACGGTGCCGTTGTACTGGTATCAAGTAAAGGCCTCAAGGTCGAAGGCTGAAAATGGCGAACTTGAGGACCCCCCCTCTTTAAAAAAAAAATTTATATTAATTTTTTTTTCAGACTCTCTCCGTTTCCTCCCTGTGGGAGTTTCCGAGGGGATCGATGAATGGGGGAGTATACATATTGATGGGGTTTCCTTTGTTTGCAGGAGGGTGAGGGGGTGTGCATTAACATTCTCGTTCGTTTGATTTTTTTTCCCCGATTTTTTTTATCACGCTAACGTGGAAGGTAGGGTAGCATCGTCACCAGAGAGACCTGCGCCAACCGACAAGCACCCCTTTGTTCCATCATCCCCCCATCCTTCAGACCCTTCACAGTAGGAAGCTATGATAAAACTGAATCAAACGGAACAACCCCATCAGGCGTTTAGGCTATGGGGGGGTTTGGACCGCACCGGGCTGAGACAGGAAAAACCCCCTCTGTGCTTTCCCCTGAGGAGTTCGGGGTTTTAGAGGGGGGAAAAAAAATCCATTAATGCATCCATCCTTTCCTCCTCACCTCTTTCCCTCCCCACATCCAATCATGCAACCCGCCCACAAAGGGGGGGAGGGGGATCAGCCCAAGCCCCCCCACAAACAAGGGAAATCGCCTGACGGAAAAGCGTGGAATCGAGATTGAGTTTAGTCGGGTTTCTACTGTATGGGGAAAAAACCCAAGGTTCTCCATTCCCTGGTCGTATTTTCCTACCGAGCGGCTCGAGCCGCCCCGCAGAGCCTCTTCTTGGCACCTTGTGAATGATCTCATCCCTGAGTTTATCAATTAAAGCCGGTATTTCCTGAGAGCCCCTCCTCACCAGCTGCTCCAAATCCTCTTCCTGCTCCCCCTCCGCCTTGCCCTTTTTCAACCCTCCTTTTTTTAACGCACGGGAGGGTTTGCGCCACGTTACCCTAACGGCTTTTTGGGCTGTTGCGTTCTTTCCATTCCCTGCTCTGAACCCTAACCTTTTTCCCCATTTCCTATTTCTCCCACCCACCCGAGCATCGGTGTTACAATGAGAGTGGGAAGAAGGGCAAATTTCCATATGAAACTATTCAATAAAAGTTAGTTAGATGCCCCGGGAAAAGGCCGGTAGATGGATACGTGAAACTTAACTGGCGATTCTACCATTCTCGTAAATCATGAAATCCGGAGGAAGGAAGGAGGGGAGGAGGGTTAAAACGGAAAGGTAGAAGGAGTAGAGGGGGGAGGAAGAGAGAAATGGAGAGAGCGGGAAAAGAGTCGAAGAGAATTGATTACCACATGTTAGAGGGGAAAAAAAAAACAATTAAAAATGTCAAGTCACGAAATGGCAAAAAGTAAAAGGTAATAAAAGAAAAAGAAAAGAAAAAACCAGAAATGAAGAAGGAAAAAAAAAAATCAAAAAAAAAAAACAGAGAGAGGGATCAGCTTATGAAGCAACCAATAGATTCACCCTTATGGATAAACCCCCTCTTTCAACAAATCCATCAGCAAAAACGGTTTCTCGCAATGTCCAAGAGCGCATCAGGTAGTGCCGGTACGTCCCCGCCAGTTCGAGGGAAGACTGCGAAAATATCCGTCGTCCGTGCTCTAATCGGTCTGAAGAACGAAAAATACGAGTGGAACAAATTGGTGGTGAGTTTTCCTTTTTGTTGCCGCTTCCTTCCTCCCCTCCCCTTGAAGCCGGGAACAAAGTGGATCTTGGACGGGAAAACAGCTCGAGGGGGCCTCTTTTATTGTTATAGAAGTCTTCAAATCCCTTCGTCTCCTTCCTTCTCCCCCCTTTCCACGGGGCAATTTTCGCGGCAAAGCACTTTATGGATGTCGGCTTGCTTCAGCGAAGCTCTCTACCTCCCCCCCCCTCTCTTCTTCAAGAGCTCTCCGGGCCCGAAGATTCTGTTACAGGAGAGGGAAGGGGGAGTGAGTGAGCAGGGGAGGAGGGTTTGGAGGAAGTTTGCTTTGCCGTGAGGGGGGGCATTCTGAGCTCTCCTGTTTCTCCTCGCCCTCATTCACTTTCATTCATTTCAGTTCCTCCACCACCAACGTCCCCAACTTGACCCCTCGATATGGCATTGTGATCAAGATTCTTACAATCGAGGGATGGGAGCACGACAGACCATCTCGGCCAAAACTTTTCAGAAGTTTAATCAGGAGAACGGCTTCGCACGTACCCCTACATGGTCAACACTGTCATTCGCCCAACAGCAATCCCTTATCGAGTGTGTTAAGGATTATGCAAACATGACTCCGGGCTGCGTTAAGTACTTTGAGGATCACCCGTGGTTACCCGAATACCTTCTTTACCAGCGAACAAGGAATAAGAACACTGCCCGGAAGAGTATGTACCCCTCCCCCACCCCCTAGCCCCGTCTAGAACAACCAACTAACACCGTAGAGCAGAAGATCAGGGGCCGGGTTCGAGTGCCGGAGAAGCCGAAGAAGACGAAGAGGAGGAAGCGGAGGATGGAAACGGAAGTGCTAGGGAAGATCAGGTCCCGGATGATGCGCCTGGACCGGCCGATAATCAGGATAGTCTGAGTGTGTTTTACCCACATATTTCCCCTCCCCTCCCCGCAATCCCGATCCCCTTAAAAAACCGATTCGATCTGAACTTCCCTGTTTTCTTCCCGTCAAAACTCCCATCTGACTGAACCCACCCAACCACTTTTCTCCTCGCAGGGATCGACTTCCTACTCAACTAGAACGGATCACCTCTCTACCCTCTTCCCAGAGCGGCGAAATATATTTTTTACTTTTTCTCTTTTATTAAATGGGATTCTCCGGTGGCCAGCGTTTTTTTCCTGCTCTTTTATTTTCCTTTCCCCATCATCTCTTTTTCAGCATTGGGGATGAAGCTCACTCGAGTCAGTGATCGCTGTTGTTGTCCCTTCTCCTTTGTTTCCGCATTTTATCCCTCTGAAAGGTATGGATCGAACTGCTATACGATGTTAACTCATTGACCCTTTCCTCTCGCACCTGATCGAATTCCCGAAATGGTTGTCCTTCCTCTTTCTTTTAATCATCACATACACCACATCGCCCACAGCAAAGGGATTCCCTGAAGAAGAAGAAAAAAAAGTGGGGAAGGGGGGAGAGGAGACAAGAGAGGCGATAGAGAAGGAAGGAGAGGGAAGGTCGCCAACCGTCAGTGAAATACCGGATGAAATATACCAAACCCGTTTCCCTATAATTTCCCTTGAAATAGCACGCGTGAGACGGTGGATGAGGCAAAAAAAAAAAATTAGGGCCTGAAAGTGTCGGTCGGGGCTGCTGGTAAGTGGGAAACGTGACCGAATCCTAAACTACATGTACGTCCTGCCAGGAATAACATACCTGCATCAAAGGGGTAGAAAAGCAAGGGTAAGTAAAAAAAACGTGGAGGTGTAATACCTATATCATTGTAATAATATTATGAGAGAAACCTCGATCTCCCCCCTGCCCCCCCTCTAAACTCACGATTCTGGCCCATGCACCCGAGTGACTTCCCATGAGCCGCCTCATAGCAGTTATCCAAAAGGGCAAAAGTTCTGGGAGCCTGGCGCAGGGGCCGTTTGGGCTGGGGGAAAACTCGGGGACCTTGTGAGAGTTGGTATGATGGTCGGGTGCGAAGGTTCCTGTGGGGGAAAAGAAGGCTCCAAGGAGTGGTATCGTATCATACTTGTAGAGTGAACGTATGATGGCAGGGCTGTTGGACGATGATAGGATGTATACAATAGGGGACCAGGGAAGAAGTACAAGTACAGTATATGCAGTAGGATGGAGGGGAAGGGAGACCTAGTATTTTTTAATTTTTTTTTTAATTTTTTTTTCTTTCTCCTCCTGCCCACGCTTGAAAAACATTTACTGTACGAAAGGATAGCGGCGACAGGGGCATACGGTAACCTTGATGGAACAGGAAAGAAAAAAAAAGCACATCAGATACTGTATTGTGTGAAGACAGAAGCTGTTTTTTTCTTTTTTTTATGTGTGTTTTTTCAATTACGTATTTCCGGCACAGGGTATGACTACCCATAGAATCAGTCTGATTATTGTATCATAAGAGAAGGAAATTAGCTCACTGCCATTTTTTACCTAAGCAAGAAACCAGATAATACTGTGGCAAGATTTCAGCCCCACTGGTGGCGGGTGATGGATACTGTAAAGACGGGGGGCTTTCATTCGCTGGGGTTTTGGGGTACGGTCCCGGACTACAGGAAGCACGTGACGTCTATTCTACGAGTAAGTACGATATGATACCATGATAGTGCCTATCTCACCTATCGCTGTGCGGGGGGAGGGGCTCTGTATGGAGGCTTCCGTTGGCGAAAGTGCGAATACCGTAGTACGAGCGCCTTGTTATCTATCATACCCGAGTAGTCTACTGGAGTACGATACGGTACTGTACATAAGGCATTGAGATATAAATTTATATTGGGACTGAATCAAGTTGAGAGCGCAAGAGCGCTTGTATGATACGGCACTGTACAGTACGAGCACTCGTACTGCACTGTACGTAGAACACAGTAGGGTATAGTACGGTGTGGTATTGCGTGGTAGCGAGACAGCGACTTACCGTCCCGAAGAAAGAAAACCTTGTCGCCACGAACGAACGCTTGCGTGCCGAATAAACGAGTAGATAAAAAAAACCCCAGTATTCTCCCCTGCATGACGCAAGCCTGACCATATCCGGGCGAATGCGATATTACCACACTCGTGGTCTACAGTATACCATCTAGAGTACGTACAGTACCGGTACCGGTGTTAGACGAGGGTTGAACAGTTTTTGTCGAGTGACAATCAATGAGCGTCAACTGGATCCCCCTTTCCCCTCCCCCCTTTGTTTTTTCGCCGCCCCGTATGTGCTCACGGCGGGGTGGTGATTGGTGCATTGGTGGCGCTGACTCACGGAAAAAGTCCACGGAGGTTGATTGGAAGGGACACTCGACCCGGTCCAAACGCCTCCTTCTCGGCAAATGGTCCCCAAAAACGTTACTATTGTGTACCATAAATCTTGTGAGGCTTGAGTGAAATCCGCAGAGTGAAAAAACTCTTCCCCCCCGCCGTCCATCCTAGCTAGCCCTAGTCTACCCGCTTCGGGGTTCAGGGGCGAGAGCTGCCCACCGGATTGTGTTGAATCTATTCTAGCGATTTTGTTGAATTGTCGAGCGGAAAAAAGGTGCCGGTAGCCTGGGATGACGGGATGGTTTCCGCTGGTATCGTAGGAGTAAAACCTGATACTGTACCGGTACGTGCGAGTACAGTACTCGAGTACAGTAGTGGATTCGAGAGCTTTTTATCATACGCCATGGCACGAATGCCCCGGGAGGGATTGTTTTGCACGTTAACCTGTTTCACCGACTTTTCTGGTGGGTGCTGTGCTACGTGCTTGTATCGTAGTCGAGTATGATGGGAGTTACTGGTATGATATCCTACTCCTACTGTACAGCACTCTACGAGTACTGTACTTGCCGAATAGCCCCGGACCTTTTACCTAAGCCCGACCAACTAATGCGCCACTCCAACCCTCGTTTGAAAAGAATTGTATCTGCTCGAATATGATACGCCAACTTACTGCTCTGCACCGGTACTTCTCATTGCCTCCCGGCACTATCGTGTTACTGGTATGGCGCAAAGCGCCCGCAACGTGCACCAAACCAGCTGTATGATATTATGTAATGCCTCAATTTGTGAGGGTAAAGGGTGAACGAGGGCGAAAATTTATCCTTGAAGGTCAAAGCTTCAATTCCGCGCGCTTTCCCACATCTTTCCTTTCCTCTTTCTTTTCTTTTTTGTATAATATATCGGTGGATTGATTTACTCGGTGCTCGTCAGCTTGTCCACAGCCTGCGTTATGACATAAAGACCTGAAGTATGATATCATACTAACGAAAGGAAAAACATCCCAATCCTGTCCAATGAATGCCCTCTGATTCTAAAGTTCCTTGGTATGGAACCAGTTGCACATATCCGTCCTCTTCCAGAATGAGAAAGACGAGCAGAAAAGGAAACCCCTATCGGTAGACACTAAAACAGGGAAAAAACCAATTGACCCAGGCTCTTCAGAATAAGAGGGTTCAGATTGCAATCCTGGTCCTGTTTCAGGAACGAGAGACTTGTATGTGGGGGGGTTTTTTTTTTTTTTGAGTGGCGCAGCCTGGATGCTGTTATTATCTAGATTAGAGATGCCAATTATGATACTATAGTAGTAGTTGAGCAGAAGGTTTTGCCAACGAGTTACGTGGCAGATTGTGTTAACTGGGGGTAATGATTCTTGCTTCCCGTAATCGTGTAAGCAAGGGAGATACTATATGGAAGGGGATTTTGTATTTTGTACCATTTTAGTTCTAAAGTCTGATGTCTTTAAATAAACGAGGTATCGTAGTAACCTAGTTTAATTTCATCGTGAGGTCCTTCCCGCAAATCTGTAAAGCTCCATATTTCGGCGTATGAAATAGGATCACGAGAGTTCATCTATCAGTGTTTTGCCCTGCGACCGCCTTTCCGATTCGGAAGATAAAAAACAAGGGCTGAAAAATTGGGGAACGCGAGTGTTTTGTTTTGTTTGGTTAGTTTCACACTGGCTCTCACATAATATTGAATATATCTCTAGATATTTAAGCTCGATGCATGGAATCTTTATCTGTAGTAATACATCACTAGAGGGCTCCCTACCCGCTTATACCTCTTCCATAAACAAGTACCACGTTATCATAAAAGTGACAACTATATTCTGGCATCATGATAACATATCATCATAGTGTAGAACTGGGGATCTTTTGAAGGTTATTTTTCCTACATAACATAATAATAACCCTTACCCTTACAAACGGGGGCATCAGGCAACGCACCGGGCTTGGTGTGCATGTCACGGACGCTTTGTACCATACTGGTGACACCGGTTTTGAGGGATATTTGGTGAGTAGTGGTGACTGATGAAAAATCACCTGTCGTTGAGCCTGCTCGACGAGAGCGATTACCGCGTTGCCACAGGCGGCTATGCCTTGGGATCGGACCTCATGTGGCACCTGGTACAGTACTGTACAGCACAGTCCAAGTACGGGTCTTTGGATACTCAAATAGGCGTTTATCACCCACCCGCCACACCTGTCAACTCCCCTTAACCATCGCTTACAAGTACAAGCACCGGGCAATATGTTTTCGCACACACCAATGTGGCTTACCAGCAAAAAATCCTTAAAAACTGGTGGGTCACAAACTGGTGTGTGCGAAAACATATTGCCTGGTGCTTGTACCAAGTCTAAGCTTTGCGCTGTGCAGTATTGGGATTGGTTGGCTCATAGCAGTCGGAAGCTATCGGTACTGTACCCGTATCTTTGGCCTGGAGTTTGGTCGCGTGCCCAATTTCCCAAAAGGGGTGCTTGGGTTTGAGGTACGGCGTAGGTGCGCATGGCCCAGCAGAACGCCCGCAATCATCTACGAGTAGTCTAGCCCGCCTTGTCTGGTTTCTGACACTTATGTCGCTGTCCGCTGGGTTATTTAAGCCTGGGATTCGTCCGAATTTCCCACCCGTAAAAGTTTTCTTTTTCACATCTCTTCTCCCCCCCCCCGCTCTGGCGCAAAAAAAACCATCACGAACAAGATGAAGTTTGCCCATTCGTTCTCCCAAGTTCTACAGGAGGAGGACTTCCCCGCTGATTGGCAAGCGGCCGCGATAAGGTATCGTCAGCTGAAAAAGTGTATTAAGAAAGTACAATTAGAATTGTTGGATTTGGGACTCACTGTGGAGGTGTTAAAGGGGTTGGCGGAGGAAAGGGAAAGTCCAAGTTTTGAATATATGTTTGATGGTTTGCCCTCTCTTTATCTACTCTTGTAGTTTTTGGGGAGGGTACGCTGATGAGGGGTTAAATAGGTACGGTACATAGTTTTCAACCAAAGTTAGTGTTGACGATTGATGCTGTCGACCTGATTCCACTCGATTTGAACCTTTCGGAGGACACCCGGCGGTCATTAGAGTGCCTAGTCAAGAAAAAGCTAGGGAGGGAAGAAGTGGAGACTAAGGACGCTGCTGTAGAAGGTAGTACGGAGATGTGCAAAAGGTGTGTTAGTATAGTCTATTTGAGTGGAATAAGGTCTCACATTGGGATGAAAGCATTCGGACCATTGAGATAACCCTCTGTTCGGATTCCGAGTTCTTCCATCTCCTCACCTCCGAAATAACTTCGCTGGAGGCTCTTCAATCCCGATCTGGGTCCGAGGTTCGCTCTCACATCCTGCAACTCGGCCAGTCCGTCACCGCTGTTGCTGCGCCAAAATCTCGAAATAATAAATCAGACCTCTACCCATGGCGCGAGATATTTAGGATATACCTCGAGACTGGAATATTTTTTTCGAATCTTGAGACTGAATCGCATCAGGAGAGAACGATAGAAGAGGCAACTGAACGGTTGACCTTTTTTGCGGGCGAGATTCGGCGGTTGGGGATCCAGGCCAAGTTTAAGAATCCTTACAGCCCTTCTTTATTTAAAATGTTTCTGAGCGTGAACATGGATGTTCTT